CCATCCTCTACCTCCCGAGTGCTGGGATTAAAGGCGTGCACCACCAACGCCAGGCTTTATGTAGGCAATTAGTGCGATGAACTTTCCTCTTAGCACTGCTTTCATAGAGTCCCATAAGTTTGCATATGTTGTGAATTCATTTTCATTGAATTCTAGGAAGGCTTTCATTTCTGTCTTTATTTCTTCCTCGACCCAGTGGTGGTTCAGTTTACCACTGTTGATTTGCCATGAGTTTGTGGGCTTTCTGCAATTGGTGTTGTTGCTTTAAGCCAAGGTTATCCTAAGAGATACAGGATATTATTCCAATTTTTAAAAAAGATTTTATTTATTTATTATGTATACAGTATTCTGCTTCCATGTATATCTGCACACCAGAAGAGGCCACCAGATCTCATAACGGATGGTTGTGAGCCACCATGTGGTTGCTGGAAATTGAACTCAGGACCTCTGGAAGAGCAGTCGGAGCTCCTAACCTCTGAGCCATCTCTCCAGCCCCCTCATTTCCAATTTTTTGGTATCTGTTGAGATTTGCTTTCTGACCGAGTATGTGGCCAATTTTAGAGAAGATTCTATGAGGTACTGAGAAAAAGGTATATTCTTTTGTGTTTGGATGAAATGTTCTGTACCATTTGAGTAATAGTCTGACAGACATGTCCATTGGTGAGAATAGGATGTTGAGGTCTCCCACTATTAATGTGTGGGTTTTGATGTGTGATTTAAATTTCAGTAATGTTTCTTTTATATTTATGCCCTTGTATTTGGGGCATAAATATTCAGAATTGAGACTTCATCTTGATGGATTTTTCCTGTTAGGAATATGAAATGTCCTTCTCCATCCCTTTTGAAAAATTTTAGTTTGAAGTCTATTTTGTTAGATATTAGGATAGCTACTCCAGTTTGTTTCTTAGGTCAATTTGATTGGAAAGTCTTTTCCCAATCCTTTACTCTGAGGTAATGTCTGCCTTTGAAGTTGAAGCTTCTTGTATGTAGCAGAAGGATGGATCCTGTTTTCATATCCATTCTGTTAGCCTGTACTTCGATAGGTGATTTGGATCCATTGATATTAAGAGATATTATTGAACAGTGGTTGTTAATTCCTGGTTTGGTTTGGTTTTGGTTTTGGTTTTGGTTGTGGTGTTGGTAGTGTGTGTTTCTCTTCTTCTGGATTTGCAGGTGCGAGATTATCTATTGCCCTTGTTTTCACGGGTCCAGCTAAATTCCTTGGGTTAGAGAGTTTTCCTCCTAGTACTTTCTTTAGGGCTGGGTTTGTGGAAAGGTATTATTTGAATTTGGTTTTATCATGGAATATCTTTTTTTCTCTGTTTATAGTGATGGAAAGCTTTGCTGGGTATAGCAGTCTGGGCTGGCATCTGTGATCTCTTAGTGTCTGTAAAACATCTGTCCAGAACCTTCTGGTTTTCCGAGTCTACATTGAAAAGTCAGGTGTAATCCTGATAGTTCTGCCTTTATCTGTTTCTTGGATTTTTTCTTTGCAGCTCTCAATAGTCTTTCTTTATTCTGTATGTTTAGTGTTTTGATTATTATGTGGTGAGGG